TTATGAAAATGAAAAGGGAATAGAAAGGAATTTAGAAAAAGCCCTATATTGGTATCAAAAAGCTAAAAATGCAAGAAGTTCGAAAAAAACTTTTTATTGGTATCAAAAAGCAGCAAGAAATGGTTACACTGCTGCAATGTTTAATTTAGCTATATGCTATAAAAATGGAAAGGGAGCAGAACAGAATTTAGAAAAAGCCTTTCAATGGTATCAAAAAGCAGCAGAAAATGGTTACACTATTGCAATGCTTAATTTAGCCATATGTTATGAAAATGGAAAAGGAACAGAAAAAAATCTAGAAAAAGCCTTTTATTGGTATCAAAAAGCAGAAGAAAATGGTCATACTGATGCAATATTTAATTTAGCCATATACTATGAAAATGAAAAGGGAACAGATAAGAATTTAGAAAATTACTTTTATTGGAATCAAAGAACAGAAATTGCAATAAGTTCAAAAAAAGCATTTCATTGTTATCAAAAAGCAGCAGAAAATGGTTATACTATTGCAATGTTTAATTTAGCTATATGTCATGAAGGTGGAAAAGGAACAGAAAGGAATTTAAAAAGAGCCTTTTATTGGTATCAAAAATCAGCGGAAAATGGTGTTAAAGAAGCAATGTATAATTTAGCCTTACATTATGAAAATGGGGAAGTAATAGAAAAGAACTTAGAAAAAGCCTTTTATTGGTACCAAAAAGCAGCAGAAAATGGTTACAATAATGCAATGTTTAATTTAGCCATATGTTATGAGGATGGAAAAGGAACAGAAAAAAATTTAGAAAAAGCCTTTTATTGGTATCAAAAAGCAGCAGAAAATGGTTACACTAATGCAATGTTTAATTTAGCAATATATTATGAAGATGGAAAAGGAACAGAAAGTAATTTAGAAAAAGTCTTTTATTGGTATCAAAAAGCAGCAGAAAATGGTAACATTAATGCAATGTTTAATTTGGCTATATGTTACAAAGATGGAAAAGGAATAGAAAAGAATTTAGAAAAAGCCTTTTATTGGCATCAAATGGCAGCAGAACAATATCACATTAAAGCAATGTTTAATTTAGCTATACATTATTATGAAAATGGAGTAGGAACAAAAAAGAATTTAGAAAAAGCCTTTCATTGGTGTCAAAAGGCAGCAGAAAAAGATCATATTAAAGCAATGTTTAATCTAGCTATACATTATGAAAATGGAGAAGGAATAGAAAAGAATTTAGAAAAAGCCTTTTATTGGTATCAAAAAGCAGCGGAAAATGGTGTTAAAGAAGCAATGTTTAATTTAGCTATACATTATGAAAATGGAAAAGGGACAGAAGAGAATCTAAAAGAATCCTTTTATTGGTATCAAAAAGCAGCAGAACATGGTGTTAAAGAAGCAATGCTTATTTTAGCCACATGTTATGAAATTGGAATAGAAACGGAAAAGAATTTAGTAAAAGCTTTTCATTGGAATCAAAAAGCAGCAGAAAAAGATCACATTATTTCAATGTTTTGTTTAGCCAATAAATATTACATCGGAAAAGGAACAATAAAGAATTTAGAAAAAGCCTTTTATTGGTATCAAAAAGCAGCAGAAAAAGATTACATTAATGCAATGTTTAATTTAGCTAATAGCTATTATAATGGAGAAGGAACAGAGAAGAATCTAGAAAAAGCCTTTCATTGGTATCAAAAAGCAGCAGAAAATGGTTACACTAATGTAGTATCTAATTTAGCAAATATGTATTATATTGGAGAAGAAACAGAAAAGAATTTAGAAAAGGCCTTTTATTGGTATCAAAAAGAAGCAGAATTAGATCACATTAAAATAATGTTTAATTTAGCCAATAACTATTATAATGGAGAAGGAATAGAAAAGAATTTAGAAAAAGCCTTTTATTTGTATAAAAAAACAGCAGTAAAAGGTGTTAATGAAGCAATGTTTAATTTAGCCATATGCTATAAAAATGGAGAAGGAACAGAGAAGAATTCAGAAAAATCCTTTTATTGGTATCAAAAAGCAGCAGAAGATGGTTATATTGTTGCAATGTTTAATTTAGCAAATATGTATTATAGTGGAGAAGGAATAGAAAAGAATTTAGAACAAGCCTTTTATTGGTATAAAAAAACAGCAGTAAAAGATGTTAAAGGTGCAATGTTTAGTTTAGCCATATGTTATGAAAATGGAAAAGGTACAAAAAAGAATTTAGAAAAAGCTTTTTATTGGTATCAAAAAGCAGCGGAAAATGATTATACTAATGCAGTGTTTAATTTAGCTTTATGTTATGAAAATGGAAAAGGTGCAAAAAAGAATTTAGAAAAAGCCTTTTATTGGTATAAAAAAGCAGCAGAAAATGATCACATTAATGCAATGTTTAATTTGTCTAATTGCTATTATAATGGAGAGGGAATAGAAAAGAATTTGGTAAAAGCTTTTTATTGGAATCAAAAAGCAGCAGAAAAAGATCACATTATTTCAATGTTTAGTTTAGCCAATAAATATTATATTGGAGAGGGAACAATAAAGAATTTAGAAAAAGCTTTTTATTGGTATCAAAAAGCAGCAGAAAAAGATCACACTAACACAATGTTTAATTTTGCTAGTTGCTATTATAATGACGAAGGAACAGAAACGAATTTAGAAAAAGCCTTTTATTGGTATCAAAAAGAAGCAGAATTAGATCACATTAATGCAATGTTTAATTTAGCTAATAGCTATTATAATGGTGAAGGAATAGAAAAGAATTTAGAGAAAGCTTTTTATTTGTATAAAAAAACAGCAGTAAAAGGTGTTAATGAAGCAATGTTTAATTTAGCCATATGTTATAAAAATGGAAAAGGAACAGAAAAGAATTTAGAAAAAGCCTTTCATTGGTATCAAAAAGCAGCAGAAAATGGTTACACTGTTGCAATGTTTAATTTAGCAAATATGTATTATATTGGAGAAGGGATAGAAAAAAATTTAGAACAAGCCTTTTATTTGTATAAAAAAATAGCAGTAAAAGGTGTTAATGAAGCAATGTTTAATTTAGCTATATGTTATGAAAATGGAAAAGGTACAAATAAGAATATAGAAAAAGCCTTTTATTGGCATCAAAAAGCAGCAGAAAATGGTTACACTATTGCAATGTTTAATTTAGCCATATGTTATGAAAATGGAAAAGGTACAAATTATAATTTAGAAAAAGCCTTTTATTGGTATCAAAAGGCAGCAGAAATAGATCATATTGAAGCAATGTTTAATTTAGCCATATGTTATGAAAATGAAAAAGGCACAAAAATGAATTTAGAAAAAGCTTTTTATTGGTATCAAAAAGTAGCAGAAATAGATCATATTGAAGCAATGTTTAATTTAGCTTTATGTCATAAAAATGGAAAAGGTACAAAAATGAATTTAGAAAAGGCCTTTTATTGGTATCATAAGGCAGCAGAAGTAGATCATATTGAAGCAATGTTTAATTTAGCTATACATTATGAAAACGGAGAAGGAACTGAAGAGAATTTGGAAGAAGCCTTTTATTGGTATCAAAAAGCAGCAGAAAATGGTTATACTAATGCAATGTTTAATTTAGCTATATGTTACAAGGATGGAAAAGGAACAGAAAAGAATTTAGAAAAAGCCTTTTATTGGTATCAAAAAGCTGCAGAAGATGGTTATACTGTTGCAATGTTTAATTTAGCAAATATGTATTATATTGGAGAAGGAATAGAAAAGAATTTAGAACAAGCTTTTTATTGGTATAAAAAAACAGCAGTAAAGGATGTTAAAGAAGCAATGTTTAATTTAGCTATATGTTATGAAAATGGTAGAGGTACAAAAAAGAATTTAGAAAAAGCCTTTTATTGGTATCAAAAAGCAGCAGAAGATGGTTACTCTATTGCAATGTTTAATTTAGCCATATTTTATAAAAATGGAGAAGGAACAGAAAGGAATTTAGAAAAAGCTTTTTATTGGTATCAAGAAGCAGCAGAAAATGGTAATGAAGAAGCAATATTTAATTTAGCCATATGTTATAAAAATGGAGAAGGAACAGAAAAGAATTTAGATAAAACCTTTCATTGGTATCAAAAAGCAGCAGAAAATGGTGTCAAAGAAGCAATGTTTGATTTAGCCATATGTTGTAAAAACGGAGAAGGAACAGAAAAAAATTTAGAAAAAGCCTTTCATTGGTATCAAAAAGCAGCAGAAAATGGACATATTCAAGCAATGAATAATTTAGCCATGTGCTATGAAAATGGAAAAGGAACAGAAAAGAATTTTGAAAAGGCTTTTTATTGGCATCAAAAAGTAGCAGAAAGTAACAAAGTGAATCCTAAAAATGAGGCTGAATTGTGTAATGAATGTAGGCAACTATGTACTGATTACCAATGGTGCCAACAATGTAATACTAACCGATTTCAACAAGATTTTTTAAAGTGGACTAGTAAAAATGAATTTATTGATAAATTTATTCAAAAAGCACAATTAAATGCTAAAAATAGTTATGAAATTTTAGAGTGGATACCTTATAACAAATTGTCAAATATTAATTATTATGATAAAGGAGGATTTAGTGAAATTCATAAAGCTACTTGGTCAGATGGGCCCATTTTTAGTTGGAATTTTAGCAAACAACAATGGAATAGGCAAACAGGTTACGAGGTCATTCTTAAAACACTTAATAATTCATCAAGTTTGAATAGTAAATTTCTGGATGAGGTATAATATTTATATTTAATAGTATGCTGTTTATTTCCTTTTGCAAAAATTTAATAATTTTTTATTATTTATATAGTGGAAATATCATTATAATTGTCAGAAAAAATCATTTTCAAAATTTATTCAATTTTTTGGAATTACCCAAAATCCAGAAAATTTAAATTATATAATAATAATGAGTTATGCGAAAAAAGGAAGCTTGAGAAAATGTTTATCTGATATAATTAAGCTTAAGTGGCAAGAAAAATTACAATTATTGAAAAAAATTATATTAGGACTTAAAGTAATACATGAATCAAATTTGGCTCATGGTGATTTTCATGATGGTAATATTTTAATATCAGATAATTACAATGAGTTATTTATTATTGATTTAGGATTATGCAAACCTATAAGTGATTTAGAAGATTCCTATAATAAAGTTAATGAAATTTATGGAGTTTTACCTTATATGGCACCTGAGATATTAAGAAAAAAACCCTATACTCCAGCAAGTGATATTTATAGCTTTTCAATGATAATGTGGGAATTTACATCGGGAGTTCCACCATATGAAAATAAAGCACATGATCTTCAACTCAGCTTGAGTATTTGTAAAGAAGGAAAGCGTCCTGAAATTATGAAAAATACTCCAAAATGTTATATAGATTTAATGAAAAAATGTTGGGATTCAGATCCTTCAAATAGACCAACCATAATAATGCTTGAAAATATTATATCTGAATGGATTAGATGTATTGATAAACATTATGAGATAAACAGGGATGGAAATTATAAATATGAAGTATTTGATATTGATAATCAATTAAAAAATGATATGTTTGAATTTGTAGAAGCAAACAAAGCTTTATGGCAAGAACAAGCAAGTACTTCTGATATACAATATCATTCACAAGCATATTATACAAGTCGCAGTCTTACTGAAATTTTAGCTAAAGAAGATTCTGAGTGTTTAGAATGTATAATTGAAAATTAATAATTCTATTATTTATTCTTTATTTGTTAGATTATTTATCAATAATTACATAGAAAACATTTTTATTATGTGCTTCTATTACGTTTTTACAATAAAGTAATAAAGATTAAATATGATTAATATAAGTATAAAAATTCAGTTATTGAAATGTTTATTTATATTTTTACTTTCATTTGAAATTTGTTTAGAAAATTTAATAATTATTATTTCTTATAAATTGCAATACAACTGTATATCTGAAACATTATCATAAAATTCATTGATTGAAGTATCATTAATGCTACTAGTCTTTCTGAAACAACTTAGATTATCACTTCTATGATCCCCTTTTAATTAAGACTATATATTATTTTTAGGAATTGTCAAATTTTCACCGGTGGTGATTTTCACCGGTCATGTGATCATGTGATTACTTATGTTACACAACATAACATATATTTATCATATTTATGAAATTTGTTTTTGCTTTGCTTGCTTTGCTTGCTTTGCTTTTCTTTTAATATTTTACGTGTTTTTAATACAAAAAATATTACTTTTGTTACACTATTAAACCCATAGGAGTATATTTCAATTTCATAAAGTTAGATATAATATTTATGAAAAAAAAAACACATTTAAATATTTGTTTTTCTGTTTACCAACTTCAAAGCGTAATTTCAACACTTTAGTCAAATGAAATCAGCTTTCTTTATTAAGTGAAAGATGTTCAGCGAGGTTGAAACTAGTTGTATATCAAATTTCATGGATGTAAGTATAATACTTGTGGAGAAAATCACATTTTTCATAACGGTACTAACTTTCGAATATTTTTTTTCCGTTTGTGAACTTCAGAGCGTAATTTCACCACTTTAGTCAAATGAAATCGTCTTTCTTTATTAAGTGAAAGTTGTTCAGCGTGGTCGAAACTAGTTGTATATAAAATTTCATGGATGTAGTGTAATAATTGTGAAGAAAATCGCATTTTTCATAATGATACTAACTTTCGAATTTTTCTTTTTTATTTGTTAATTTCAGAGTGTACTTTCACCACTTTGGTCAAATGAAATCGTTGTTCAGCAAGATTAAAACTAGTTGTGTATCAAATTTCATGAGTGTAAATGTATTACTTTTGGAAAAAATTGCATTTCTCATAATAGTATTAACTTTCAAATTTTTTTTTTCTGTCTATTAAATTTAAAGTGTAATTTCCTTACTTTGGTCAAATAAATTAAGTTTTTTTATTAAGTAAAACATGTTCAATATTTAAAAAAACTACTTACATTTAATTTTTTTTCTTGGTAAAAATTTGCAAAAAAATTTTTTATAATTCTGGCTAAATCATAATTTCTGCCAACATTAATAACGGTGAAAATCACCACCAGTGAGAATCACCACCGGTGAGATTTAGCAATACCCTTATTTTTATTGTAGGCAAAGAGGTTGATAGAGTAAAATAATTATGAATATATGTTAGTGATTATAAAGATTTTATGTTGACTTTTAAATTTCTTGTTTTTTGAAAATAAACGAATATATATATTAGTGATTACTATAAAGATTTTTATATGATTATATGACTTTAAATTCCTTGTTTTCTGAAAATAAATCAATACTGTATAATTATTTATCCAATTATAATGTCATAAGTTATGTATTTTTATAAATTATTAAATACTCAATATTTAATAGTTATTCAGCACTTTGTGGTGACTGTTATATTGGTAATATAACACAATGTCAGACAACTTCCCGACAACCTTTTTCCTGACATACCCTTTGCCCGACAATGATTACCTGACAAGACATATTCCCGAATGTATATTTACCGACATGACACATTCCCTAATAGACATTATACCTACATGTTAGTTTTCCTGACATGACATTATCCCGACAACACATATCCCGACAGAAATTTCCCGACATGTTGAGATGATTTACAAAAAGTAATTTATTATAATGTATCATGTTTATAAATATAAATATAAATGACTGTTATTAACAGTTCTTTATTTTCCTTTTTTTTCAATGTGATTTTTCACGACTAGCATGGTTTTTATATATATATTTATTTATTTATTTAATAATTATTTCATTTTTTTTAATAATTTTTTAAAACCGTTTTAATTTACTTTTTTATCTAAATTTATTTTTAATTTATTATCATTTTTTTTAAAAAATAACTATTTTATAACAATTTTTTTTTTAAAAAAAAGGTTTCTTAAACCGTTGTACTTTATAAGACATGGATATATTTAATAAGACAATTGTCTTATGGCAAATTCTTTTTTAAAAAGTTGTTAAAAAAATAACTGGAAATAAATAAATGCAACTAAAATAAATTTTTGTAGGGACACAACGGGTTGCTGCAAGCTATTTTATTAAAAATTTGCACTATTAAAATGAAATATACAGTGTACATGAAATTGCGAATTTTTACTAAAATAAATATATGAATAAACAAATAAAAAAATTTTCTCCATATGTTTTATTTTAAATAATTGGGAAATTCGGGAAATCGCTTTTTTTAATGTATATGTCATGTCGAGAAAATGTCTGTTGGGAAATGTGTTGTCGGGATAATGTCATGTCGGGAGAACTAACATGTCGGTATAATGTCCATTAGGGAATGTGTCATGTCGGTAAAATATACATTCGGGAATATGTCTTGTCGGGTGATCATTGTCGGGCAAAGGGTATGTCGGAAAAAAGATTGTCGGAAAATCGTGGTGTAACCATATAACAAGCTACCTTTAGGTGGCGTTAGTTATTTGAGGACCCAGAAATATATATATAAGGGTCAGGTGATGAAAAAATTTTTTACTATGAGCTGTACGCATTTTTTCAGGGCCGGAATTATGATAATGTCAGTCGGTTACTATAATAGGAAATAAAATTCTGACTGGCATTATCAAAAATTATCTAAAAGGGAAAGATTTTCATGATTTTTTTTAGTTCAAAATTCGCAAACCTGACCCTTATATGTATATTTCTGGTCCTGTTATTTGGCTTAAAGTGCTGAATAAGTGATTTATCTGGTACTACGTAATTTGAATATTGCGATTAATTCCTGATATAAGATTTTAATGTCTGATACGATTTTAATGCCTGATATGATTTATTATAACCATTTTTAATTATAAAGATCATGCGATACCGGTGTAACCCTAGATATCGAAATAATCACGTGAACAGAGGAATAATTATCCGAAGGCTGAATGAAATACCGAATGGAATATGGATAAACATTTAACCGACAAAAGAATATTTAACTGAAATAATTAGAAATACATTGTTATAGTTGTACAATAGTTAGTTATTTATAATAATATTTATTTATAATTCAGTTATTTATAATTATTTATATTATTAGATTAGTTATTAGTAGTCTAGCATAAATAGATTATTATTTCGTTGGGAGGACTTTGATAGTTTAATTGATGGAATGGGAAAATTATAAATGATAAATTAAAAGGGAATCAGACAAATCAATTGTTGGGGAAATAATTCATGGATACAGATTTATAATGAAAATGTTAAGTTGGGGAATGTATAATGGAATAACAAGTAAATTGTTGGGGAATGTTAAGTTTTAGATAGATGATCAAGAGATAAGAAAAGATATTCAAGATAAGAAAAGTTATTTAAGATCGAGATTTTGGACTTAAGTGAAGCGGAAGGAGTTTCGACTTGAAATTGAAAATAATATTGGGAACTTAGGAAAATATAATGATAATTAATAATGTTATGATAACACTAAGGGAAATTATCGAAGTTTGAAATTTTGAATAAATTAAAATGATAAAATCTAAACCAAGCACGGATACATATATATTTATAAATGTTAAGATTTCGTCTATCGGTACGTGGCAGGTGCCGGTGACATTATGGTGCATGCTCCAAGAAAGGAAATGATCAGCAATCATGTGAAAGGTTGTAACTAGCAATTATGCAAAAGGTTATTATTAACAACTATGCAAAAGGTCATTTTGATCATCCTCATATGATCAAGTACCAATAATAAGGTATTCCTAGAGAATCTGAACTTGAGGTATTCAAAATAATAATAAAAGGTTTTTAAGTACCTAAAAACTGATAAAAGGCTTACTATAGGAAAGAATTCTGCGTACTATATTAGGTCAAAAAAAAAAAAAAAAAAAAAAATTTTAAAACATGAGTTGAATAAGGTTTATCATAAATAATGGTAAATGAATTTAGTATTTTAATGAAAAATTCATGGACAAATAAAATATATGGGTTGAGTAAGGTTTACTAAAATTTAAAAATGGTAAACGAATTTCGTATTTTAATGAAAGATCCATAAAATAAAATAAAATGGATTTATTACAAGAGAGAATTTCTGTGTATTGTAATGGATCAAAATAAATAAAACTGTTGGAATTCTTCAGTTAATATAAAAAGAATTTGGGTGAAATACTTAAATTATAAGCCTACTTTAGGAATTATAAAAAGAAGGATGCGGTGAAATAATTGGGTATGATGTACTTATCCAGATAAATTTAAAATTAAAACTGTTATTTCTTCAGTTAATATAAAAAGATTGTGAAAGATAAAACTTGCAGGTCAAGTGATAAAATGTTAATGACAAACCCAGAAACTACTATACTTCAATAATTGAAGGTAAAGGTAAGCCTGGTATAGGTTATTAAAAATTAATAAGGATATAAATGATAAGAGATTTTGTAGCGCAGTAAAATTATATAAAATGTCAACACAGGTGTCGAGATTATTAATTAAAGATTATCAAAGCACAGTAAATTTTAGGATATAATAGAATTTGAGGCGTAGTAAGAGTATATGAAAGAGGGAGATTTGAATCTCCCACTTATTAAATGAATGGTGCAGTAAAATAATACACAAGATCATGTGAGTAGTACAAGACATGTGAGAGATATGAATCACATGTATTACACAAGTCAGGTGACTAATAAATATTACACAAGGCACAATAAAACTTACCAAAAGAAAATAATTGAAGAAAATACGAAAAGGTGAGAGATAAAAGGAAAGGAGGTACTATTTGTATATTTTTGAGGTAACACAAGATGGAGCAGTAAGTGTAATAAATGTAGGTAAAACAAGTCAAATCACATGAGGTAATACAAATAGTACAGTAAGTTATGTAGATCAATTAATCGTGTAATTATATAATGATGTAATTTATTACACAAAATAAAATAAATAAAAGAAAAGGAGAACCGATAAGATTAAAAGTTACCATAATAAGGAGTAAAGGATAAATTAAAATTAAATGGACCAATAGAAGTAATAATTACTAAAAGAGGATAAAATGATAATTAGATTTTCAAGAAAAGATGGGAAAAATAAATTGTGTGGAGAATAAATGGCGTGAAGGAAAAATAAAGGAAAATTTCTACAGAAGAATTTTATTATAGTAAAGGGAATTTTGAACATAAAAAAAAAAAAAAAAAAAAAAAAAANTGTGTGAGCTTTTTCTGTGTGAACTCAATTGAGGTATTCTGTGTGATCAATTGAGAATAGTTCTGTGTGAACTTCCAAAAACAATTCTGTGTGAGGGTACCCAAGAAAAATCATGATTAACGTTAACAAAAATTAAAATAATATTTGCTGGACAAATATATAAAAGTTAAGGATGAATTAAAAATAATAAAAATAGGAAGATTGACAAAAATCACATGACCAAGGAAAAATATAAATATAGGAGGGAGATTTGGATCTCCCACTTATTATTTCAAAATATAACAAAATAACGATAATAATAAAATAATAATAATTATAACAAGAAATTAAAATGATTGTACATAAAATCAATTTAACTGAAGAAGAATTGGGAAAATACTTACGAGGTGAAGAACAGATTAAAATAGAAATACATGATAAAAATGAGGTCATAATTGAAAAGAAAATCCTAGCTAAAAAGACAACTAATAATGGAGGGAAAAGAAAAAGTTGTGGAGTCTGTGAAGAAAATGCTGAGATAAAGAAAAAAAAAAAAGAAGATAAAGTGGAAAAATTTATCAAAGAAGTGAGCACACCAATTAAAGGAAATGAGAGAATGACGTTAGAAAGTCAATTCACTGGAATTGACAATCAGAATGAGGAAATTAATGATATAGAAAAATTAGTGGAAAAATATCTTGACTTAGGAGATATAAACTCCAGAGCAATTCAAAAATGGTATTTTCTCGGACGAGATTTTGAACGAAAGGTGGAGGAAATGAAGAATCAAGGAAGGAAGAAGAAATCAGAACAAACAGCCAGGAGAGATTTGTACAATGAAATGATGGGACTACTAGTAAAAGGGGATGAAGATGCTGAAGAAAAACTTAGAGTAAGGGGAGCATTAAAGGAAAGGATGCAAGGAGCTGTAAAAATATATGAATTATTTATTGAAATCAGACAAGACAAAATAAATAGAATAAAGGAAACATTTGTGACAACAATAATAAAATTTACAGAATCAGAAAAGAAGGAGATAATCGGACATTTTAGGAATTAAAATAATGGAGTAAAATGACAGAATAAGGATAATTTATCAAAAGATATGTTTGAAAATCATGTAAAATGAGGAAACATGTAAATATTAAAGGATAAAATATAAATAAAGGTTATCGTCTTAAAAGTAGAAATTAAAAAGTGATCAAAATAAAATAAACCGTAAATAAAATTTTATTAAAATGGAATGGTACCATGTTTGGAATGCTGAATATATAAATCATAAACAGGAACATGACTCAGGGGTATTAGAACCAGAAGAATGTTTATCATGTGAGATATGTAATCCAATGAATAGAGAAATACCAGTAGTATTCAAGAAATTTTGGGATGCGTTATTCAAGTTTGAAGATACAATACTAATGTACAATAATGTAACACTAAAAGGGTTATTAGACTTAGTAAGTATGGATAATAGAGAAAGGGAAGACACAATACATAAAGGAAAATGTAGAGATATAGCGGATAGAATAATTGAATCAATAAGGTACAGACAACAACCAAAAATGAAAGAAAAAGGATTGAGAATAATAATGGTAGTGATTGTAAGAGATTGTATTGAAGGAGACTTAGAAAATGAAGTATTTGATCGATTAATAGGATGTCCAGAAATAATGAAACATGGATACATTTTAGAAGATTGGGATGTTGAAAATAGATTTCAAAAATTTTGGGATTGGTAAAACACGATATTGGAAAATGAAATGAAAGCAATACATGTTAAGAAGAAAGCAATAAAGTTATTCAGGGATTTATTATATGAAGAAACAGAAGATCTGTTGAGGAAAGGAAAGGTAGTTGAATTATTACTCCAGATAGAATATCAGAATGGATGTGAGACAGACACTCAAGAAGGAAGTGATGCATGGAAGAGATATATATCAAAAGTAAGACAAAGATTTATTGATACCAAACAATTTACAAGAGAACCTGAGGACCCAGAAAGGGATAGTCCTGAAAGTTATGAATTAGAGGACAGTGATGGTAGTATAGGTTATGAAATAAAAATAGAAGACAATATCGAATGGACAGTGGAATTATTAAAAAGAAAAATTGAAGAAATGGGTGGAAGATTCACCGATAAAAATATACAAAGAATGTGGGATCTAAGAATAAGGATAGAATTGATATTAACAGAAGATTTCTTAGGAACATTTTTTGAATTAATGGGACTAAGTGACGAAAAATTAAAAGATGAGTTAAATGAATGGTTAATAAGAGAAACATTAATATGTAAAGATTGTGGAAACAAAAAATTACCCGATAGGATGATAGATCCACAACAATGTAAAAGTTGTGAACAAAAAGAACTATTGGAATTAAAGGACAACCTAGAAAAATTAGGGTATGAATTAGATGTACCAGAAATAAGGAGAATAAAGGAGTTCAGGATAAGCAATAGTGTAATGTTGACAATGGAATTTATGGAAAAATATTTCCAAGAAATTGAATTAAATGACAGAGAATTAAGGATAAAATTGTATGAATGGGTAAATGAAAATACAACCTTTTGTAATGAATGTGGAATAAGATGGATTAAGGTTGCTTGTCTAAACCTCTTCAAAATCCTACGATTAGTTTTGTCAAAATTTTACTATAGATTTATTATAGTTTCGGCAGAGTTTCGGCAGTTTTGGCATTTATAATAAGTTTCGGCAGTTTCGCCTTTCTCCAAAGTTTCGCCAGTTTTTTAATATAACTTTAATATAGTTTCGGCAGAATTTCGCTTTTCGGCGAAACGCCATCTTGCCTAAACCCCTAGGTTTCGGCAAGCAACCTTAAGATGGATCAATAACAAATTTGATGAAGGAAAAACAAAGTGTAAGAATTGTGAAAATGAGGAAAATGAAATTGATATTAGAGTTAAAAGATTGAAACAAACATACGATGATGTCAGAATGGAAATAACTGAAGGGGAATTATTAAGGTTGATCAGTATGGGATATACTGATGGAGAAATACTAGATCAAGAATTTATTGAAACATTCCATAAAAATAAAAATAATTTGGAAAAGAATTTGAAACGAATACTGGATAAATTTTTAAGACAACAAGCAGGAATTGAAGATAGTGAAAGCAGTGGAAATAAATCTGATGATGAAGAATCAGATGAATCTGAAAAGATTGGAGAAATTCTAAGTCCAGGAGAACATGAAAATTGGGATGAAAATATTGAAAATTTTGAAGAAAATGAATTTGAAAATATTATAAATACAGGAGGTCTTGGCTTAGATCAAAATTCAGATTCGAATAATTCACTGAATCTTGAAAATTCTGATAGTGAAAGTGAATTATCTGATTACAATTTTGAATTATCCGATTACAATTTACAAGGATTATTTCAAGAAAATATAATAAATATGGCAAATCAAGACCAAATAAAGAGAATAATAGAAAATGCTTTAGGATTCACACCTAATGCATTAGATAACGTATTAGGAGCAGGACAAACTTTGGCAGATAGAATTCAAACTGCAGCAATGGGAGGAATAGTAGGTATACCAACTTTTAGTGGAAAGGAAGATGAAGATGTTAATGATTGGATTAGACAGTTTGATGTAGCATTTACAGTAAGTGGAAGACCAGAAGGAAATGTTGCAGGAGGTGCATGCAGACAAAATAAGGCAAATATAGCAATAACCTGTTTAAGAGGAATTGCATTACAATGGTATAATGAAGAAAAGAAAGAGCAGTAGCTAATTTGGTAAATTGGTGTGATCATGATGATGATAGAAATTTGAAAGGAAAATTAATTAATAGATTTACTAGGGAAGATGTTAAAAGAAGAAAAATGATAGAATTAACAAGGATTAAACAAGGAACAAATGAAAGTGTTGAAGAATATACTAGAAGGTTTAGATCAATATTAAGAATTGTGACTAGAGGTCAGGTATTGCATGATTTGTACCAAGTAAATTATTTTATTCAAGGATTAGAACCTATGTTAGGATATCAAGTTAGAAGAGACAGTCCAACAAATCTGAATGATGCAGTTAATATGGCAAGAAGGGAAGAGGAAGCAAAAGGTGAATTGTTAATGAAAACAATGGGTCTGGATATAGGACGAGTAGGACAAGAAAGGAGTATGGAAAATATTCTGAATGAAGAAACAAACAAATATAAGAAAACAAATCCAGTTATGCAAGAATTACAAAAACCAGTAAAAGATGATGAAATGGATGATTTAATTAATAGAATGAATAGAATGGAAGCACATATGATAAAGAGAAATAATAATGAAAGACCACCTATAAGGAATAACAATAATCAAAGAAATAATGTCAACTGGAATGAAATGACTTGTTATACATGTGGAAAACAAGGGCACACTTCTAGAATTTGTAGAGAAAGTCAGAGGAGACCATATAAAGGAAATAATAGAGGATCATACAGACAAAATAATCAACTTAATTATATGGATGATGAATATTATAATGATGAGTATAATGTCTATAACATAAAATGTAATGATTACGATAAAAATTATGAATATGATGATGAGTTTGACATCTGTGAAATGGAAGATGAAGATGATATTGAAGAATATGAGATGTATCCAGTACCACCTAGAAGAAGTGAAAGAAATAAAGATAAAGTCATGAACGATGAAAGGGATAGAAGAAGAAATATGCAATGGCAAGGACAGCAAAATAAAGCACAAGGAAATAAGAAAGGTTTTACTCAAGAACAGCGACAGAAAGCACAAGAAACCAGAAGAAATAATAACACGTGTCACAATTGTGGTCAACAGGGACATTTTGCTAGAGAATGTATGAATGAAAAAGTGAAACTTAATCGAAAAATACCTAATATTGAAGAGTTTGAACCAGTAAAAGAATTCATAAATTCAAATGTACCAATTACTTGGGGACAGTATCTTAATGAAAAGCCAAATGCAAAGAAGAAATTGAGAAATGGCTTAAAATATTGACTACACTCGGGCGAACTGAAAAATATTAACCAAAAAGAGGAAAAATCACAAGCAACTAGATGTAACATAATAATTGAGGGAAAAATGATAAGAGCATTAGTTGATACAGGTGCAGGACCTTCAGTAATAACAAATGAACTAAGAAGAGAATTAAATATACCAATAACAAAGAAAAGCAATGTTGTATTAACAATAGCAAATGGAAAAAGTATAGCATCATTGGGAAGAGCAGAAATTAAAATAGAAATTGATGAAAATTTGGAAATACCTTTAGAATTTGAAGTAATTGATTCAAAAAGAAAGGATTTAATACTAGGAACTGATTTATTAAAATATGGAATAATAAATATGAGGGAAGGTCTATTAACAATAGAATTGGATGATGAAATATATGAAATACCAATTGATTTTAAAGGAAAGAAAAATGTCAAATTTGATGAATCAGAAGGTGAAAGTGAATCTGATGAAGATTCAGAGAATATGGAAAATATGAGTGATGATTCTAGTGAAGAATCAGAAAGTGAAAACGAATACGAGGATAATGAAAAGGAAGAGGTACTCTCTACTATGGAAAAAGTCCGAAGGAAAAAGAAAAATAATGTAAAATAACTAGTCTTGGCTTTCTAAAAGAGAGAGAGACGATAAAGACGCCAAATGAAAGTAAGGAAGAAAAATTTGAAAAGAAAATATGTTTGGGAGAAATGAGTGACGAAAGAAAGGAAATATTCGAAGAATTAATACGAGAATATGAGGATATATTTGAATATGATGGAGAAAAATTAGGGAGAGTAGATATAGTTAAACATAGGATAGAGATTGAGGAAAATCAGAAACCAATATTGCAAAAGAGATATAGAGAAACTGATGAAAAAGGAAAATTCATAAAGAAAGAAATTGAGCAATTACTAAAAATGGGAAAGATAAGAAAATCATGGAGTCCTTGGGCATCTCCAGTAACATTAGCAGGAAAGAAAAGTGGAAATTATAGATTCTGTATTGATTATAGAAAATTGAATAATGTAACTAAAACAGATGCATATCCATTACCACGGATAGATGAATTATTGGAAAAA